AAAGACTGCATTTCAAATATTCACTACAGGTCCCTGTTTGAGCTCAGGAGTTCGAAACCAGCCTGAGCAAGAGCGAGACCCCGTCTCTACTAAAAATAGAAAGAAATTAGCTGGACAACTAAAAATATATATAAAAAAAAAAGAAACAAAGAAAACTTTAAAAAAGAAAGTGGCCAGGCACGGTGGCTCATGCATGTAATCCTACTACTCCGGGAGGCAGAGGCAGGAGGACTGCTTGAGTTCAGGAGTTCGAGACCAGCCTGAGCAAGAGTGAGGCCCTGTGTCTACTAAAAATAGAAAAATTAGGCGGGCATGGCAGTGTGTGCCTGTAGTCCCAGCTACTCGGGAGGCTGAGGCAGGAGGATTGCTCGAGCCCGGAGTTTGAGGCTGCAGTGAGCTACGATGACACCACTGCATTCTGCCCAGGGCGACAGAGTAAGACTCTGCCTCAAAAAGGAAAAAAAAAAAAAAAAAGGAAAGAAAGGAAGAAACTCACTCACAATAAGTTATTTCAAAACATTCCTCAATATGGCTGAGGATAGATAATATAGAAAAACTAAGGAAATTTTCTTCCTTTGGATCATTTATGCCTTCAATTTCTGTGACCAAATGCTAAAAACCATGAATCCATACAAATCAAAATAAAGTGCTTCTTTTCCACTTGGCTAAATTTAAAGTGGGTAAAACCACATGTTTCACTATTTGAGGCTAACCTCTAGATTTCGAAAAGTACTTTTCTTCTAGGCACAAAGGGTGATGTGGGTGGTACTGATTTATCTTTCAAGTTGAGTCACTAGTTCTTTTAATAAGCTAAATTTCAAAAAGCCCTGGGGGTGAACTAGGTGCCTGGAAATAAAGTTGCACCAGTCTATTTTCTTTTTTCTGTACACTTTACTACAAGTATAGCTTGAGGAAAAAGATGGGTTTATTTCTGACCCTCGTCCCCACATTTCCGTGTTGCTTTAAGGATGAAATGCAGATGTGGGCTGTCTCCTACTTCACTCTTGGTCT